TGAGGAAGGTACGAGGGAGGGAGATGGGAAGTAGTTTGTTCTTGGGTTCGCGGCAGAGCCAGAAAAAAAGGTACAGGGGTAGGCCGTATTTTTATTTTGTTCATGCCCGGGGGCAGCTTAGAGCACATACTTACACGAAAGGGTGAGAGGTGCCGGATAAGACAATAAGGAGTCCCCCTGGCGTATCGGGGGGTAACTCATGTCCTTGCATGCCTTAGCCACAGGACCGATCGGTGGGGCATCAAGAGCCCTACGGGGGGGCAGAAGCACCTCAAACAGCACTCTCTCTCGTGGTTAGGCTCGCGAGACATGAGTGCAGATCCAAGGCGAGCTGAAGAGCCGGGGGTCGAGAAGGGTGAACCAAGTCGGGGCTGGCTCTACCTGTTCTGCCAACAACAACAACGACGACAGCCACAACAACGACAACGACAGCCACAATAACAACAACAACAATAACAACAACAACGACAACGACAACGACAACGACAACGACAACGACAATCACAACGACAACGACAACGACAGCAACAATAACAACGACGACGACAACAAACCTGGATGAGCGAGTCGGTGTCGACGTCGACGTTAGCGGTGGCCTCGTCCATGACCAGGATCTTGTTCCGCCGGAGCACAGCGCGGGCCAGGCACACCAGCTGCCTCTGCCCAAGGGAAAGGTTCTCTCCCCCCTCGCTCACCTGAACAAAAACATAATAACAACAATATAAACAACAGGACGAACGCGCACGTCACGTACACGACCCAGACCCACGCCTCTTTCCAAAAATAATAATAATATAATACTGTCCGTGGTCGATTGTGCGCTTTCAAAACTAACGCAAAACGTGCGTGGATCGTTCGTGCGCTTTCAAAAAAAGAAAAGTTCGTGGTCGTTTGTGCTTTTTTTCCGAAGAAAAAAAAAAAATGGTCATGTGTGCGCCTTAGTGCGCAAACCAGGGCGCGAAGTGTCGCCAAGTCCGTGTTTTAGCGGTGCGAATGATGGTACATGCATGCTCGCGAAAGCTCTCGCCCCTACCTCGGCCTCGAGCTTGCCCTCCAATCCGGACACGTAGTGCGCCAGGCGAGCCGCCTCCAGGGCGGCCCAGATGGTCACGTCGTCGCTGAGCCCGAACGGGTCGAGGTTGTCCCGAATGGTCCCGCAGAACATCACGGGGTCCTGTTGTGTGAGGGGGTCATGCATGTCACGAGTTTGGGGGTTGGGCGTGATTAGTGTGCTTCGAGATCGTGGTATGAACTGATTCAATGGTTACCCGATGGGAGCACCGCCACACAAGGTAGGTAGCATCACTACATTTATTAACAACAATGACAAGCCACAACGACAAACAAACGCACACCACGACAACAACAAACCCGCCAAAAAAACAATAAACAGCAACAGCAAGAACAAAGAACGAGAACAACAACAGCACCAGCGGAAGCAAAACCAACAACAACTGCAGCAGAAAAGAACAAAAAAACGCGAACAAGAACATCGATAAACAAACACCAACACCACCACCAACGGCAACAACAATAAACCCACAAACAACGGCAACAACAACAACAACAACAACAACGACGACGACGACGACGACGACGACAAGGCAGGCACCTGAGGGATGATGGAGATGGCCTTCCGAAGGTCCTGTAGCCCTACCCTCAGCCCGTCCACCCCGTCGATCGTCAGGCTGCCGCCGCACGGCTCCACTATCCTGAACAGGGTCACCATGAGGGAAGACTTGCCCGAACCGGTCCGGCCGGCGATGCCTATTCGCTCTCCTCCCTACAGGGTTTCCGAACAAAAACAACTTTTTTTTTGTCAAATCGTGCCAAGTGTGCATGCATGGGGCCCTCCTCAATACACCGTTCCGGGGGGGTCCTTTGGGCACAACGGCGGTCAGCACGAACAAACGACAAGAACGTCAACACACCTCGCGAAAGATTCCTTTCGTTTGCACTACGCCCGCGCCGCCAAGAAACGTGGTACGAGATGCCTTGCGCCGCATGTTACATGGTACGTAGTGTACCACACCCTTTTGAAACCCCGGCTACTCACAGCAGTATTTAGTGACGCTGCCGAGAATAGCGGGAGGCGTTGGAACCTTCTCGTCAAGGCCCTTCCGAAAAACGCATCATTTGATTTGATTTGATTTGATTTGAACATCCTCTCCGTCATAGAGTAATCGAGCGTTGAAAATCGGTCAAAAGGGGGGGTGTTATCCTGCGTCATGCTACTTACGGTAATGCCTTACCGAAAAACACATAATTTGATTTGATTTGATGTGAACATCCTCTCCGTCATAGAGTAATCGAGCGTTGAAAATAGGTCATAAGGGGGGGTGTTATCTTGCGTCATGCCACCTACGGTAATGCCTTACCGAAAAACACATAATTTGATTTGATTTGATTTTTACATCCTCTCCGTCATGGAGTAATCGAGCGTTGAAAATCGGTCAAAGGAGGGTGTGTTATCTTGCGTCATGCCACCTACGGTAATGCCTTACCTTGATGTCGAGGGAGACACCCTTGAGGACGAGGTCGAGCCCCGGGCGGTATCGCATCTTGATCCCCGAGAGCTTCACCGCTCCCGATTCGGGCCACCCCTACGCGCGCGCGCGCGCGTCGTTTTCGGTTTTCCAGCAGGGCACGAAAAAAACAAAGCGACACGACAGACGGACGCAAACGAAGAATGAACGTCAACTTGTGAGGAAATTCTCTCGCGCTTCTTGCGGAGGAGGAGGAGGCTCATACAGTACACAACTTGGCTGCTACAAGGTAAGGTGCTTTGCCACCTGTTGTTTCCGCCCCGCCAATGTATCAGGCGACCACCTGTTCCATCACATGGGCGTAATATCCTTGGAGAATGAATGAAGAAAAGAACATTTTTTCTCTCGTATTTTCTTTGTATATATATTTTTTTCCTTTCAAGAAGGCGTACATGTACAGCCGAGGAAATCGCACTGTTCAGTACAGCAGCACTAAACATATACAAGCATTTTTCTTCTCTCCGGTAAATAGTTTTTTTCCGTTCGGTAAGGCATGTACAGCTGGCAAGAGTGCCTACTACAAGTGCTGCTTATGTTGGTGATTTTCCGTTCACATAAGGCACACACAGCAGCAAACAGCAGGCCAAAAAAAACGACAGCAATTGTACATACCACGCATATACCTCAGCTAGCCTGTGACTACTTGTACGGGAATCGATCGCGCAAGTGTCACAGAGGGAGGCACCATACTGGATAGAGAGACCGGAACGGTTATTAACGTCAAGACAGCAACAACACACCTGAGGGGGGCGGTAGTCATCCACGATGGGGGGTGCCTCAGGGGTTAGGTCGGCGTACTCCTGGGCGCGCTCCACGGCGGTGATGCGAGCCTCCATCTCGCAGCCCATCCTCACCGTCCACGTCAGGTAGCCAGTCACCTGTTGTCATCGTTCGTTCTTGTTTTATTATGATGTTTGTATGATGATTTTTTCTTCGCGTTCACAAACCATTCCCGCGATAACAAGAACAACAACAACGACGACAACAACAAAGAAAAATATCAGCACGAAAACAATAAATAAGCCGTGCGATATCACCACGCCGCGCGCCCCGCACCTGCTGGGTGTAGGTAAGGACGAGGCCGGCGACGCCTCCCTTGATGGTGATGCCCCCGGAGCCCTTGCTGAACACGATCAGCAGAGCCGCTGCGAGGATCATGGTGGTGCCCATGGCCTCCAGCCTGATACCCAACCACCTGCGACCACGCACACATGCGTACACGGAAGCACGATGATCAACAACGCCGATCAAACACAAGGCAAAACATGCATTAAAATTAAAACAACAACATTATCAATCAACAACAGCACACCACCAACAACAACAATAACGACAACGGTGTCGGTCACGCGGCACACGGCAAAGAAAAAAAAAAAGGAGGGTGCGTACAAAGCAGGAGTGGGGGCACAACGGTTGGGACGGGAGAGGGGTCGAAGTGTGACGCGGTCTGCCCCCCCCCCGTGGTCGGATGGACTGCTGTTATATATTGAGCGGAGGACACTTGTGACTGAACACAGATGTTAATTTTTTATTTTTTTGGTTTCTCGAGGTTCGGTGGGCTCCTCGAATCAAACACACGGCGGCTGTTGAGCTTGGAAAACGTCACACCGCAGCTGGAAGCAACATGTGAGTTGGTCCTGCTGCCTGCCTTTTTTTTCATCTCGCATCACCGCTTGACGACGCTGCTGTGCTTTCATGAGCCCAACACCGAAGGGATCACTAAATAACTACACTGTCAGCGAGAAGTCTCTTTCCTGCCGTATTGAGCAACGAGGCACACATGCCTAGGCACGGTACGCTACGCCGCCAGGAGTTCTTCTCGAGCAGCAGGTACTTGCGGACGGCCAAAAGAGTACGGCATGATCTTCTCTTGTCTCCAACTCATGCGGGTACATACGCACGCGTACGCCGCCGAGGAGATCTTCTCGAGCAACAGGTACTCGCGGGCTTAAAAAAAAAAGGAGTACGGCGTGGTCTTGTCTTGTCTCGTCTCTTACTCACCGGTTGGACACGTGCATGAGGTAGAAGGCCGTCGAGCTGTCGTTCAGGCGAGCGTTGTTGCGGTTGATGAACTCGCCCTGCCACACAAACCACGAACGTGCATTGCAGAGAAGAGTTGTTGTTGTTGTTGATTGTTGTTGTTGTCTTCACATTGAAAACCGTTCCGTTCTCTCTGCCCGGTACCTTAATCTGTCCGTAATATGTTGTCTAACACTTCACGGGGTCGATTCCCGTGGTCACCTAGCTAGGGTTAGGGTCAGAGTGCATCACAAAAAAGATGGAAACAAAAAAAAAGCATACAAGAAGGGGTTCTGTCATATACCTGGGAAGGCGTTTACGGTTTGGAGTTTCTATCTGTCAAAGAATGACGGGGAGAGAGGGGGCGGGCAGAATCTCACGTAGAACAAAAAACTTAAAAAACTCAACTCCCAAGTCTAACATCTTAGCAACAGAGCGGCCAACCAACAGGGATCAGCGTTAGATACGTGTGAGACAACAGCGCACCAGTTTTGGTGCTCCATCTGGCCACGTAACCAACAACACGAAACGCCTGCTGCGCACCCCCGCTGCATAAGAGAGACCCTTCTCGACAGCCAACGTTTAGCTGCAAGCACGAAAACGCACCGCTACAGCTGTTGCAGCATACACACACTTCCCACCAATTTGCGAGTCGGAACAACACAGCAGTTACACACACAGCCAAAGAAAAAAACAAAGTGTACATATATAGAAGTACAAATGCAACGGCCATACCTCCTGGTTGTACGCCCTAACCGTGGAGACGCCGTTGAGGGTTTCGGAGAACTGCGCGAAAATGGGAGATCGCGAAACGCTCTCCAGGCGTTGCAGGTCGCGGTTCACCGGCCGGTAAAGCATCTGGTACGGTAACCGCAGTAGCGGCCGGAACAAAAAGTGGTAAAAAACATTGCCGTTGCAAAAGGCACCATGCTGGAAGGTATGCATACGGGCAACGTTTATCTCACTCACTACCGCGGCAAGGGGGGTGATGAACGCGGCACATGCGTACGAGACCAAGACAATCATTTTTCATGCGTTCAGATCATGGTATAGACTACGGCACTTACACCTTAGCATGCATACCTTTGGCCTTTAATACCAACCCCCGATCCCGGGGGACACCAGCTTCCAGCGCCCCCCCCCCCCTAAAAACGCCTCTTGGGGTGGGTTCTTGGACGAAAAAGAAACGGGCATCAAAATCAACGAGCTTGTTTCGTACATGTTCGAGC